TTCTTTATTTTCAGTTTGGCTCTGGTTTCTAAAATTGTTTTCAAAGACGTCCCAAAATACATATATCTAAAAAATAATAATTAAGATTAAAACCTACACATTATTATTATTTAAAAATAAATAAATTTCATCATCCCGAGTCTAATTTTTGGACTCAGGATGTTACATCTTCAGCCTGTTTGCATAGCTAACAAGCATTAAGCAAAGTGAAACCCCTTCTCTTTAATTTATCAATTGTTAATATACACTCCCTGCTAGCTTCCCAAGCAAAAAAAGAAACCCGAGGAGGCACCTAACCTTCCAGATCTGTTTGACCGGGAAAATATTCCTTTCACCATCAATCAATTGTGCTGACTCATCATGCTGTATCAATTTTTTGTACCAGGATTTCACCGTGAACACCCCTTTTTTTGTGATATTCCACCAAGACTTATCCACATTGTTGCCCAAATTTATACCAGTTAGGATCTTCAACAAATTTTCATACTCCAGCAACTCCTAGTCATTGTTGCCCAAATTTGATGTTCTATCCCCTGATTATGAATGATGCTTGGATCTAGATTTTTTCTTTTTGTTTCTAAATAAGAAGTTGAAACTAATCTTGGTTGACATTATTGAATGGTGAATGTACTTGTAATGAACTTTTTTATTTTGGCTTATCTATACTGCTTTAGAAGTTAGTACGTATTGTAAAGTTTATTCCTTTAACCATTTTTTGGGTGGTATGAAAAGAGAGAAACAATAGAGCGTCTGAAGGGTGTATGAGGGATTTGGTTAGAATTAGAGATAGGTGGATTCATGTTTTCAGATCTTTAATTCTGGGACACAACTTATATGGGTGGGATGATTTTGGAAAGGTCATTGATGTTCTAACTGAGATGGAAATACTTTGTACATGGATGGCTTTTTGATACCATATACTTAATACACTCTTTTTATCTTCAGAAAAAAAAGAAAAAATATCTGCACAACTGATAGCAAAGGTGTGTTGAGATTGATGCTTTTGTTTTTGTGCTTGCATGTTTGTTATATGCATAAAATTTTGTACTGAGTATAGGGATTTCTTCAAGTGACTGAACTCATTTGCAAATAGTAGATGGTTCTTAATATTCTGGATCTGGAGTTATTTTTGTGTTTCCAAATTTCTTTTATTAAGTCCTCTTACTGGCCGAGCTATTAAAAAAATCCTCTTACTGATATTTTTCTATTTTGTTTCTGTCTTGGACAGCGTTTGGATAAACAAGGAGTAAGCTTTTGTACTCGTACTACATTTGATGATAATGCCATCACAAATGCTGTTGAAATATATGACAGTGCAAGGTAATGTGATGATTATTTTCATTTCAAAAAAAGTTTTAGGTAATGTGATGATTTAGAAATCTTTTTGTTGAGTTGCATGTATTTAATTAGTGATTCTGCTGCTAATATGCACTTTTTTGCAGGGGTGGACTCTGTTTTATGGCCTCCAATAATGATTGCGGCATGAGAGAATATGATCTAGAAAGATATCAGCTACTAAATCACTTCCGTTTCCCGTGGCCAGTGAATGTGAGCCCTTCCCTCTACTTACAATGACCAAATAATTGATGTTTCCGACTTTTTAGGCTTGTGCAAATGGTTTCGTTGGCAAATTTAGTTCATTTTTCTGTTATGTTGGCAATTGGGTTTCCTAATAAATTCTTGGTAGGAAGTTCATATTTCTGATTTGTTGGCAATTGGGTTTCCTAATCAATTGTTGGTGGGAAGTTGTCTATACTACTGTGCTCTTGCCCAGTCATAATGTGTTGTGCATAATTGTATACTTGATGCAGCATACATCAATTAGCCCCGACCGTAAGATTATTGCTGTTGTTGGAGATCACCTGGATGGATTGCTCGTGGATTCGCAGACGGGAAAGTATGAAAATATTTTGTGGGTATTGAATTTAAATATAGAATTAATCTCAATTCTTCATTTGGTATTTCGATGTTCCAGACTACAGCAACTG